ACCACAGATTTCAAAGTCTGATGCACAAGCTTCTAGGTGAAATGGTGAATTTTCCATTTCTGGAGGCAGGTGGATAACTCCAGCAAGTGACAGCTTCATCTTGGGTGCCAATATTCTCCCTGCACCCACTTTCATCATTTTTAGATCAGGTTCAATGTCTTCACTGTGATGAAGCTCTTATAAAGATTGCTGCCTCCACTACGAGTGGGATATGGAGCAATAACGAAACTGCTGCAGTTTATCTCCCAGAGGTATAGAAGTAAAACACCACCACTTACCTAAATAAACTGGGCTGTAAAGTGTGACAGTTCAATAACAGCTTCGTGGGCAGCTCAGCTGTTCCTACAGGAAGACAAATTCAGTCCTGGAGAGCAGAGGAGACTGGACAGGGGAGGGCATGGCCCCCATAGGTGTAGTGAGTTAAACTGCCTGGGCTTGTCAGAAAGAGCCCAGCCCCTTCTCAGCCTCTCAGACCAACACATTCAGTCCTGTCCCCGTCCCCCCCTAATTTAAGATACTGGTACAGATTTCAAGATTAATAATCTGATGAGCTGCAATGGAATGAACGCACATGTTAATGTATATTCAGCCTTATTAAACTGAATGGGACTACTGCATCCTTAATTTTCACCTTAAAAGTAATTTGACAGTTTTCAGCAGTGTATATCAAGGTATGCCCACCCTTGCTGATTCAGAACCTTAGAATATGGTGACTCTGCAGATACACATAAACTGGCTTTGATAATGAAACCTAATATCAGGTGCATAGAGCTCACTGAAACCACAGAAGGGCCTTGGCACTACAGAGAAGATACTCTGAACAGCATCTGAAATAGCATATTGTGTCCATTTGCACCATTAAACAAATAAGAGGAAGTGGCCCGCTTCTCACTTTCTTCTTCCTTGTTTAAGAGTATTTTTGTTTTTATTTTTCTTGTAGAATAATACTTCCAACTTTTGATTTTCCTTTGCCTCATCCTAGACTTATGGATATTACAGGACAGAAGAGTCACCTACTTCACTGCTACACATAGAGGAAAGTTTCCAATTGTTAATACTTTGTAAAGGCATTAGCAATTTCTCATAAGGTTTGCTCTTGTGCCTATTATTATTATTTTTTTTTTGCTTACATACATGGTATGATAAAATAATTGGAAAAGCAAGATGGTATCTACAGAATCAAAACCAAGCTATTACTTTAACTGAGTCTGGAAAACTGACTGTGGTGGTATCAGAATCTGGAAGAGTCACCTGTCAGTCAGGTAACCTCAGCACGTACCGCCTCAATCCGAGCAGACACAGCTCCCCCAGTACTTCCCAAAGACTTCCCCCTCACCTGTCATTATCGAAGAGCTATTGTCCTGAATTCAGCAACCAATACTGTAATTCCCATACACACAACCACAAAGTCTGACAGTCATTAATATACATGAGCTCCAAGATTTATCCTCCAGTTGATCCTAAATACATCTCTACCTGTTGCGTATGAGGAATCTGACAGTCTCACTCCTTAGAACACTTCCAAGGAGTTAAGCAAATTCAGTCACTCACAACTGTAAAAGATTTTCATAACTGTATGATGGAGTCAGTCACAGGAGACATCAGTTGTCACGCTCCTACTCCACTGCAGGGATTTAAGAATGAATTTCTGGAAGGGGTAACCTAGACACAAAATCACCAGGAAAAACAGAAGCTGAGAATATAATTGGAGCCTGAATCTTATTTCAGTTTTCAGTGTATGAATTCTTCTCCCTGTGTTATTGCATCCTATTTACCCCCTAAACCATTTTACATCCAGCTGCACCCTCCTTATAATTCCCCTCCCTTTCATCTTCTGCCCACACAACATCTGTGGAGGGGGGTGAGATAAAAAAGAAAACACATACAACTATGGAACCAATATAGATTGGTATTTTTAGTATTCCAGGAATAGATTTTTGGCCTGTGTAGCTTAAGTGGCAGTTGTGTAACCCATTCTTTGAAAACAGCTCTTTTAAGTAGCACAACGTTCAGAAAGTCTATAATGAAGGATGTGAACCCTTAGCTACCAACCACTAGGCTGGCTGACATTATTTCAGCTTCTGATTTTGTAGCCATTGTAAACGAATGTGCCACCACCAGCTCCAGTCACCTTCCTCATGTCACCCAAATTACAGAAAGCTATAGAATGTGATTTTTTTTGGAACACCTCTGTAACAGTTTGTGGACATTAACTAGAAAAAGGATACTTAGAAGTGTGAGATTTCAGTACTCCTGCCTAACAGATGGAGAAATTGAAACAAAGGCAAAATCACTCTTTCAAGATTGTACAGCAAGTCAGTGGCAGAGTACAATTACAATTCAGAGCCTTCTAGTTTCTAATCCTATAATCCTCCTTCCAAAATCTACTAGCAACAACCGAATATGCTGTTTCAGTGATGGCCGTGAATGCTCAATTCTTTTGAACGCTCCACCCCAGGTATCACAAACTGATCATTCAGATGACAACACATGAATAATTTACAGTCATATTAAACATCTGAATTCAAATTACTTCACATCCCAAGCTTCTGACTAGCAGCACTAAATTCAACGTCTTTAATTGTGAAATAATTTTTCCTAATTTTAAGTTGTTGAAATAGGCTGCCGGCTCAGCACTGTATAAAAACTTAAGTCTTAGGCTAAAGGGTGAGATGAAAACATAGTAATTTGTGCTCCCCTCTGCTGTACAGTAATCCTGCCCTTAAATTTCACTCCCTGTTGTTGAACACGGACTGAATTTAACAACCACCAGCCTGGAATGAGTAAATCTGTCCCCGAGTCTCAGACACTACTGCATTCAAAAAGTCTGTCCGGAGATCGACTGCTGCTCCTAGCCCCGGCAACTCGTACTCACAGGTGTCTCTCTCTGCCATCCGATGTTGCTCTCAGCAAGCGAGCCCTGGTTTGAACACCTCCCCAGTGACCCACCAGCACAATTTGTCCTGTACCTGAGAGCTGCCCTTTTTTCTGACAGAACCAAGTGGCTGGGTGAACTGAGTGGTATGGAATAAGACCAGCTGCCAATCATCTTGCCTAAACAAAATACCTGCAGGCCCTCCCTTCCTCTGATGGCCAACTCATTCAGTCCACAGCTCAGTCCTTGCACAGCCCACATCCTCCAGGAAAGTGGGTGGGCCTAGAAATCACTGGGTTTTCTGGACTTTCGGACAGTGTTTACCTTAAAGGTGTACTAATAGCTACTCTCACAAGGTATCAAGAGGGTTCACAACACACAGGCCTTTTCTTCTGCTGGAACAAAACACACAGCGCGCACCTAGAAACATGTACCATTCCCTCTAGTCTGAGAATGAGAGCTTTCAAAATCTCCAGCTGCTTAGACTGCTTCACTGGCAAAGCATGTTAAAGGTGTAAAACTTTTCCAATAAATTTCTTTGCTTACATTTTATTAATGTGCACAAGCTACAGGTATTAGAAAAGTAGTTGTTCTTATTTGCGTGTGCCTAAATTTCAACCAAACCTTTTTGAAGTACAGCAAGTTTTCCTCTACTTCAAGGTTCCTTGGTTTTGAGGAGGCTTTTACATTTTGAATCAGTCTGTCTCTGTTTAGTTAGATGAAGCTAGCTGTTTCTCTCCCCCTTCATTGCCATGAACTTGTTTGATGTCCCCTAAAAAACAGATGTGCATGCTAACTAACCTGCTCCTCTCTCTCCAAACCCACATTTCTGGAGAGGAGATAGATGAATGAAAAGACAAACTGCACAACACATGGGAACCAGTCAGCAACTATTGCCCTTGCTTTGCCTAGCCACAGCTTTCCAGGCTTAGCTGCTCACTGTCTACCAAGCACCTAATTAAAAAAAAAAAAAAAAAAAAAAAAAAGTAATTATAAAAGTTACAGCCATTTTAAAGTTGTGGGCTTATAACTGGACAGAAAAGTTCTTCAAGTCATCATGTTACAGCAACTTCAAACACCGTGCTCAACCAACTTCTAAGTTGGGGACACACACAATACTCTGACAAACTTGTAACAGTAACTTTGATAGCTGTCCAAAAGTTCAGTTTGGTACCTTGAGAACTAGGGGTTCACGGGAAGACTGAACACTCCTGCCTCAAGCACAGCCATATTCAGAAGCACGAGGAACACCTTTGGGGTTGGTAGCAATTTTGGCAGTCTAATTGTAATCCATGGTTACCAGTCCATTAAAGCTTGCATTTAACAGTATGCTTGGCTACATGACATCCGAGGTGTTAACTGTTCCCAGTCATTTTCCCCACACCTCTATTAGGAGAGCGTTATTTCAAGGGACACAGGAAAAGTTGTCTATAAAAAAAAAAAAAAAGGATCATACTAAAGCCTCACTGATTTAGGTGAGTGAGCCTACAGCTTTGCAGAATCTTAAGGCAAATTATCTGGAATCTGAAATTACTATTTTTATCTTCTTTGCTGTAAACACTTACAGAAAATGGTTTACAAACACCACCTAAAAGGCAACGATTCCTACATACTGCCTTTTTATTTGGGTTAAGGCTCAAGAAAGTGGAGAATAGTAGGTACACCAGAAACATCAGAGGGCACTTCTCAGAAGGAAGATGAGGCTAAGAACGCTTCCAAATACACTGTGAATGATCGATGTATCATTAAATAATGATTTCAGACACAGAAACTTAAAGAAAAAAAAAAGTGTTGATTACTTTATACTGATTAAAACACCACCATCACTGCTCAAAAGCCACAGTGGTAATCAGGCAGGGTTATTTGCATTGGCATTACTGAAGCTACATGGGATGTTTGCTGCAACTCACAATACGTTTTTACCTCACCTACGAGCCAAGCCAAAAGCTAGAACGTTATCTTTCGATGTAAGGTATTTATTTGCCACTTAGGAGCCCACTTGAGTTCAAAACTTTCAGTTCTAACAGCTTTCAGTATCTAGCGTTTGGGGTTTTTTTGTTTGTTTGTTTGTTTTGTTTTAAGAAAGTCTCATAGTATGTTGCAATAAATGCACAATCAGCAGCGCTCATTTTCATTTCGCTTTAATTAAAACACAAGCGCACCTCCGAGGCGGGCGGTCCGGCTTCGCCCCCTCACTAACTTCACAGCGAGGCGATTCCGCGCCAGGCGTCGCGGCCAAGGTGACGAGAGGTCCCGAGCGCCGCGGCCTCCCGGCTCAGCCCTCAGCACCCCGGGTCTGGAGGGGCTCCGGGGGGCTCCCGGCGCCCCGGCCGCGGGGCTACAGCTTCCGCTGCTTGTGCCGGGGGTTGGTCTTGCAGTAGACGTAGAGCCGCCCGCGCCGCCGGACGAAGAAGCAGTCCTTGCAGCGCCTCTTCAGCGACGTTTTCGTCTTCAGCCCCGCCAGGATCAGCTGCCCGGGCGGCGGGGGCCCGGCCAGCAGGCAGCGGGGGGCGGCCGCCCCCCACCACCGCGGCAGGGCCCGGCCCGCCGGCGCGGCCAGCGAGCAGAAGGGCGAGCGGCCCAGAGACCGGAGGGGCCCGGCGGCGGCCCTGGCCAGGAAGGACAGCATGCTCCGCGCCCTGCGGGGACAGCGCACCGGTGAGGGCACCGGTGAGGGCACCGGTGAGGGCACCCGTCCCGTCCCGTCCCGCTCCGCTCCCGCCGGCCCCCCCCGAGTGGGCGCCGGGCACTGACCGACACCAGCGCTGCTCCGCGCCCCTTGCCCGCCGCTCCGCGCCTCGGCCAGCACCGCGCATGCGCGCGCGGCGCGGCGGAAAAGCGCGAGGGCGGCGAAGGGCGGGGCGAGTGCGTGTGTCACGTGTCCGTTTCAAGATGGCGGCGCCCGCCGCGACCTTTCGCTGCTTGCGGCCGCTGTGTCGCTCGCTGCGGTCCCGCCCGGTGGCGGCTGCTGTCCGGCCTTATGGCGTGCGGGTCTCCGCTACCGGCGAGTTGGTGACGCATACGGGGCAGGTGACCGCGGGGTGGGGGCTGCGGGGGGAGGAGGCAGGGGCCGGCGCCGCCCGGGGAGGTCGGTTGCGGGAGGTCGGTTGCGGGAGGTCGGTTGCGGGAGGTCGGTTGCGGGAGGTCGGTTGCGGGAGGTCGGTTGCGGGAGGTCGGTTGCGGGAGGTCGGTTGCGGGAGGTCGGTTGCGGTAGGCCCCTCCGTCTGGCGCGCCCTGTGGGGAATTAACGCCCTGAAGCGGTACCCAGGCCAGGGGTACGCGCGGTGTCAAAGCGGAGGCGGTTAAGGAGGAGCGGGGCGATGAGCCGTTGCCGGGGGCCGCGGCCTGGGGCAGGCGGGGGGTGCCGTGGGGTCCGTGCCCGGGGGCTCCCCTCTCTCCGCCCCGCGGCGTGGGAGCGGGGCAGCGTGCGGAGGAGGGAGGTTTGCGCGGTGCCTGGCGGAGAGGTGGAAGAGGCATGGCTGGTGGAGCCAGCGTGGGAAGGTTCTTCGTGGGATTACCTAACTCGAACATCGATAAATGTGAAACTTGATTTTTCTAGGTTAGTTCACCTTCCAGATGGCAGTGTGGCATCAAGGAACACTGTCATAAGCAATGAGCATTATCTTTGTGGTTAGGGCTAAGGCTTCTGTTTACTGGCTTTAAACACACCACGCACACCCCTTTTCTGCTTTTCAGCCTAAAATGTATTCTCCTGTGCGAGAGAAGTAGAAACTTACTTTTTCTGTGCAGTATGTGCTTGTAAGATGATGGCAATGCTTGAAGCTGAGGACAAGATTTAAACTATTTAGTTGTGACAGTGTTGTAAGCTTTTTTTGTTCTTTTTTTTCTGGTTATTCCTTTTTAAATAAGATCAGGTTTATTTTATACTTTAGGTATATGAAGAAAAGGATTATAGAAGAGTTAGATTTGCTGGACGACAAAAGGAGGTAACTGATTCTACTTTTACTCATGGGAGAGGGAGTGGTTTGTGGAGTGTTTTTATACTTTATATTGATATCCTCAACTTGATTGTCATTAAACAATCAACAAACCAACTAAACCCAAAAATCAAAACCAACCAAACAAGAAACCACCTGTCAAAAACAAATTGTTTTGGATTTTTGGGTTTCAGTGGTTTTTTTCTCTACAGTGAAAAGTCTTCTTTTAAGACAGCTTACAGTAACTTCTGTGTACTTCCCTACTTTTGTCAAATTTGCAAAATTCAAGGCTTGCCTTGCACCTGTTCAGTGCTTACATTTAGGCTGTGGAAGTTGTAGGCATTTGAGCATCTTAAACTTTTACCACTTTTTGTTCTAAGCATGTGTTTTCTTAAAACTTTAAGCATGTTTTTAGTGCCATTTGTGTTCAGAAAAATCCCATCATTAAAAGCTCTGCTGACCTGGGCATCTATATATCTGCTAAAATGCGTGTTTTGGAGCTTAATTTGCTTCTGCATAGTTAAAATCTTGATCTTTACCCAAACCAAGTTTTTAAGTAGGCCATTTCCAGATCCTGGGAAGCATTTGCTGAAACAGTGATGTAACAAATAAAACTAAAATTTAGAGTAGCCTGAAATAATGAAGCCTCAAAGGCAAAGTCTAGTAACACCAACATCAGTTAAATGTGCTACTTTGTGAATTATCTTGTGGGACTGTTGCTGCTCCTTATCAATAGAATGGGTATGTGAAATTTTGAGTCCTTTAGCACTGAGCTGTCTCTAATGATTGAGCAGCACAGCTCCATGAAGGATCTGCTGGTGTTTGGGAGAGAAACAAAATTGTTTCAGATAAATTGTGTTGCTCAGTTCTTGAGCATCTGATTAGTGCCTTAGTGTTAATATTATAAATGTGTATGTTTAGTAGAGGCATTAAATATCAGGTGTGGTAGATTTTTAATGTAGTTGTGTGTAATTACTCCCTTCCTAAATTAACCTGAAGCAATTTATGCTGATTTTGGAGTTTTTCATATTGAGTTTACCTCACTGTATCATGGTTACACTTTAGCTTGTGCTGTGTGGCAAAAATGGGGATTCTACATGGGAAGTGGTTAAATGAAAATGTCACTTAAAATGCTAACGTAGTTTACTTCTGGGAGGATAGTGGCAAAGTAGGTCTCTTCCATATGCAATGCCTGCTTCTGTGCTACTTCTGTAACTCTGTAGGAAATACTCCTTAAGCCAAATTCTCCATAGGGCACTGGTCCCTCTGATGTGCCTCTGCCAGCAGCTGATTTTTAGACTGTGGTGAGGAACATCCAGGGTTTTCAGTTCAGCTCAATTTTTCCTTCTCCAGCAAAGGACAAGCACTAAGTTTGCTGAGCAAGTTTTAATGTTAGATTTCAGTTGTGAAATTGAAACAAAATTTACATGTTAAATATGAAAACAATCCTCATCTGTGCTCATTAATGGGATCTCTTTCCAGGGGCTTCGCTATTATCCTCCAGAGTGTTTCAGCTGCTAGTATCAGGGTTTCACGGCAGTGTCTGTAGTCTGAATGGTGTCTTTTTTTGTGAAGCTAAAGCCAGCCTGTGAAGTTGGTGACTACTTTCTTGGTTGCTTCTTCTCTTTGCCTTCAGTACGCTCCAGATGGTCAAGTCTGGCTTGTGATTGGCCCGGTGCAGCCTCGGCAGCTTTTTTGTCTGGGGGTGCAGCTTCTGGATGCAGGTGCCCTCAGTGAGGATGTCTGGGCCCACACCTGGGTGCTGCACGTGGCCTCTCTGGGTGGTGGCCAGGCCTGGGGACATGGCCCAGAGTGTGTGGCTATTTTCCCTTTAGTTCTACGAGCCCAATTGTTAATGAAATCCACGTGTTTCAGCTAAAATCATTGTTCCCTGTGCTGGATCTGCAGAACCAGAGAATTAGTACACTCTGTCAGGGGCATAAAGCAAGTAGCTCTGAGAAAACTGAGCATGGCAACTGTTAAACTCTATCTGCTGCAGTCTGACTAGGATCATCCTGCCCTCATACAGTTACTAAGGTACTACAGGACCTAATTCAACACCGCTGTTTCTGCTTTGGCTGTTTCTGTTGGGCTGGTGCAGCAGCTGAAGCTGCGAGAGCTGACCTCGGAGTTGGTCCTGCCTTTCCTCTGGATGATTGGACCTGGGTCAATTCCAAGTTTTTACCTCTTAGCCTCCCAGACCATGTACTGGTACAGGCGAGTAGGTGGAAAGAGGCAGCAATGGGATTGTCAAACTGGCACTATGACCAGGAAGAAAATTGCTCACTGAATTATGCATTGGGCAAGGAGCATTTGGATGTGCTGAGGGAAACAGCCCTGTCCTGCTAACTACTGCTGTGCTTCAATTAAAGGGACATGATGTAACTGAAACCACTACTTTTTTCCCCCCTCACAGTTTTTCTGTCTCTTTTTTTTTTTTTTTTTTTTTTTCTGGCATGCTTTCCCTGCAAATTCCTAGATTCACTTGCTTAATAGGCTGAACCACAGACAAATCATAGCTGTACAGTGGATGAGAGGTTCTGGTTTCTTCCCTCTCCCCACAAATACCTTTGTGGTTGAGAAATGTTGGGAGGAGTGGAGTTCTGTTTCTGGTCTTGAAGCAGAGGTGCATCATGGTGCTATCTCCCTCTTTCTTTAGCATGAAATAAAGGATGCACAATTTTGAGCATTATTAAAAGCAGCAGTAAAAATTCTTGCAGGCTGGCAAAGATTACATGAGACTTGTGGACATAGGACACAGGCAGTGAGGTTCTTGATATTGCCAATTTGCTTCAATACTGAAAGCTAATTTTTCATTAACTTTATTTAGCTATCATCATCTTTAGGTAAAGAAAAATCTAGTTGTTGGCAAAACTTGACTTTTCTACTGCTATACCAAGAATGCAAATTCTCGGGAGATTTAATTGGGGGCTTGGTGAAAGATCCTAAGTTGTTGTGTACTAGAAATATATAAAAATACCATTGTAGTCCTTCGGGATTCTTTCAATGGACTCTTGGCTATCTTTTTCCTAAGAATCTCATTTTCATTCAAATACCAGCATGTTTATGAACCGTATACACAAGGTACCTTTTTTGGCTGTGCATGTGATTTTATATTCTTGCGTATATAACAATGCCTTTGAAAAAAAGCTGGCCCCTCTCGGAGCGTATTTACCTGAGGCGTTGGGCTGGTTGTCTGCTCGGTGCTGGTGCAGACTGGGTTGGAAGAGGCTGGTGTGGATGAGGGAGGAAAGCGCTGTGGCCGGGTGCTGTGGGTCCTGCTGAGGCGCAAGTTGCTGCATCGCAGGCCTGTCCGGAGGTGGATACGTTTGCCAGGCCACGCAGACGTGCACTAGGAAAAAGCCCGACTTGGTCAGCGATGTGCATATTCAGGAAGTGTGTATAAGATGGGATTACAGAGTGGCCTAGTAACATTTAGAGGTTTTTCTGTTTTCTAATGCATAACGATTTGCCTTGCTGACTGTTATGTACCACGCTCATGTTTTCCTGAGGTTCCTGTGCAGTGATAGAATAAGGTGCATGGTAAGAGGCTCTGAATTACCAGCAGTTGTTTTATCTCACTCCTGACCTTACTTGTCCCACCATTATTTTTGAGTTTATCAGCAGTGGGCCTTTTGCAGTGTTATCCTGTAGTCACTAAAGCACGATACGGAGGCAATGTCAGTTAAATATCTTCTGTTCTTGGCTGCTTGGCTGCTGTGTTCCCGCTCACCTCTGCTGAATCTGCTTAAGGTCATGTTGTAAACCTGAGCACTGATGTGGCCTGTGTATCAGGGGAATGGGTTTACTTTTGCAGAGTTTAACATGCTTAGTTCACTGATCTGGCTTGTAGCACAGCCTAAGAGTTGGTGGAGGAGGTGGGAGTAAACACAAGCAGGAACTTCTCAAAATGGCTATAGTGGAACTGCGTGGGGAGGTGGTAAATAGCAATTGCTTTCTGTCTGAGTGGGGAAGGTATTTGAAAGCTTCCCTTTTTTCTTACAGGTGAACAAGAATTTTGCCATTGATTTGATAGCAGAGCAGCCTGTGAGTGAAGTTGAAAGCAGAGTGGTATCATGCGATGGTGGTGGTGGAGCTTTGGGACATCCTAAAGTATACATAAACTTGGTAATATCTTTTGATCTGCGTATGTGTTTTGCCTGTCAGTTGTTTGTCAGATCATTTAGTTTTTGGCATGTTAATTTAACAAAGTAAAAGGATTAACCAACTGGGGTGTTAATTTTACTTGGTGCCTATTGTAAAATTAAAATTTCTACTCAGAGCTAGAGGGTTTCCATTTGAAGATCCCAGGCATTTCTTGCTCTTGATTTTGATTTGTTTGATGGGACAATCTTCCCTTTTTTTTTTGGTTTTAAATAGATTAACTATGATGTAATATGAACAAGCGGTGCCTTGTGAGCAAAAAATAATATGCTAGCTGTGTTCTGAGAAATTTCTTCAAATTATTTAAATGCTACTATGTAGATTGAGGATACATTTGCAGTATTCTTAGGAATATGCAATTCATTTTGAATTCTGCATGGTCAAGAAAGGGGGGGGGGGGGGGGGGAGAAACACACCAAAAACCTCTTTTACTCCTTGGGAATCTTGGTGTTTCTGAAGATTGAGGGTTTCCATCATGGTCAGAGAATCAGTGCACAATAAATGTCTTATTATCTTCGTGCTTCCCTGACAGTAGTGATAGTTTCCAGTGCGTTGTGTTCCTATTCTAGAGAGTAGTACTGTCATATGACCTCAGTGGACTCAAGGATGACCTGTTGCTTAGGTACTGTTCTCAGGCAGACTGTGACTGCAGATGTCTTAAAATCTTTGCTTTCTCACTTAAACTTGGACGTTTGCTCAATACCCAAAAGAATGGTGGGCGAGAGCTGGTGTCCTTTAGTGTCAGTGTTGTTGTAACTCCTCGGTGTAATCACCAGAATTTCTGTTTTGAACAAAGTAAACACTTTATAATGATTGACTTTGAACAATGTTAAATTAAATGCTTGGAGGTTATAATTCATAAAACTTGGGAAGCTTGTATTCTTCAGTCTTCAGTTAACTTCTGTAGCACACTGCTGATTGGCTGCACTTACATTGATTTGTTTGATCTGCGCCATGCTCTTCTTGAGGAATGCTTTAGTTTTTGTGATTTTTTTTTTTTTTTTTTTTTTTATCTTTTTGTGTTAACAATCAAATTGCAAGACATCTGTGGTTTAGTTCTTGAAAGCTAATGTCTGCAAAGAGAGAATGGTGTTAGACCAGCTTGTTTCCCCTAGCCCTAGCACTTAAAATACAGGCTTTTGGGGGTGGAGGGTAGTCTGGATTTTTCACTTTTAATCCTGTATTAAGGAAAGGGAACCATGAATTTACTTCATTTCATGACTGCAAATAGTCAGGTTGCTAAATAACAGAAGATCCCATAGTGTTTATTTAACTGTCTTGTCTTTTGTCATGCTGAAGAGGACTACAACAATGGCTTGCAGTAGTCACACTTCTAAATTTAAAAAAAATTATATGTATCTTTTGGAGAGAAGAATAAAATTTTGCACAGTAGTTACTGCTACTTTTCACTGAAATGTTTTCTTTCAGAATATCTCCTGGAATCATACTGAAATTTCTTCCTTCCTGCAACTAACTGTCAGACTACGTTAGTAGCCAAAATTCCTGTCTAGATATAAATTGGAAATGCCAAATCATATTATGTATTAAAATAATTATGAAATTATCTTTTTAAAATATTGGAATGGGTATGGCTGAACTGACTTAGATGACCGGTTCGGTAAGAAGATCCTTTATTGCTGAAGAGGTACCGCTTGGCTTGATTCTAAAATTATATTGTTGAGATTAGGCCTGCTAGCTCAAAGGCTGGCAGAAGGGAAGCTGCCTAGGTTACAGAAATCAAGCATGAACCTCATACCACTGTTCTTACTTCCAGTGTTTCAAATAAGATTAAACTCTGTACCTCAGCTATAGTGGTCTGTTTTAAGATGGCACATATAAAGAAGAGAAAATTTGTGATTTCTGAAAGTTTTGTAAAGTGAAACTAGCAGCTGTTGTATTTTTATATTTTTGCAGGACAAAGATACAAAGACCGGAACGTGTGGCTACTGTGGACTTCAGTTTAAACAGAAACATCACTGAAAGGTTATTCCTGTGTGCTTGCAGATTACTCTTCAGATGTTAATGTTTAACTATAAATAAAGAATATATTTGGAAACCCAAGATTAGTGTTTGTGTTTATCTTAACTATGGAAAGTCCAGTCTGTACCTCGGCAGACTTCTCGCAGGCTTGGAAGTAGCATTTAGCTGCGGCGTAGGTTTGGTTTGTACTGGGTAGATTTATATTCTTTTCAACACCGAATTAGATGTAAATGTTTGCTGGGGTATTAATTATCCTGGATGTTTGGCATTGTTTGACACTTAATTTATTCATGGCCTAGTATCTATAGCTAGATTCACAAATGGAAGCACAAAAATACTATGATACTCAGCATTGGAACACTTACTCCTGGAAGCAAGACTGTTAGCCCTGAATTAAGTAACTACACTTGTTACTTGCTTAAAAGAAACAGCCAGTGCCTGAGAGAGGTAATCAGTGTGAGCTGGAGAACTACTTAAGTTGGCACACATGAAAGGTGAGGACATAAGCATTTGTCTTCCAGTTGAGAGGATGGGAGTTATAAATATCTGATTCTGCTTGGGATTCACGCCCTTGAAATCTCTTTAGGAACCGGGTCTTGTCAGATTCAAAGTACAGATTACTTCATTACAGGTAGCAGCTTCTGCTACTTTAATACTAGTAATCTGACAATGAGAGCATTCACCTATGTGTGACACCACCTCGGCTGTGTGAGCCTGGTTGTGAGATGTCATCTACCTTCTTGCTTAATTTCACTTATGTAGCATTCCTTCATATAAGCATGACTCTCAAACAGAGTGTGTGTCTGGAGGAGGAGGAGGAAGGTCTGAGCTTTTTGTCTTCGTTCCGGAGAGCAATTTAATCTGTTGTTGGTGACTTTTTTTTTTTTTTTTTTATTAAATTTAAATGCTGGTGATGGAACATGGTCCCATGTAGTAATTGCTGTTTGGCCAAAGTTTAATGGGGTGCGATTCTAAACCTGCTGTTTATATAACTTTGGTTAAATTGATGTGGTATCAAATTGAACCAAATTATGTGGGCTTTGAACTGCTGAACGTGCTTGTGTCAATTTATAGATGAAGTTGAACCAACACAGTCAGGCTTAAAGCAAGGTCTGAACTGTTCTGTCTGTAGAAGTTGTGTGTTTAGAGGCTATACTGCAGTTACTCACATGCATGTACACCCCTCCTTTTTTTTCATTCATTCTACCTGTAAGAGCTTAACCTCCCTTTCTGTCTCTTCCCCTTCTTTCTCCTTCCCTTTCTTTTTCTCCTTTCCATTACTGCTGGTTTCAGTGATCATTTGACCTTCAAGTCATTCTTTGTAATGACTTAGATTTAGGAAGTAATATTAGAGTTATGCATTGTAAATTCAGTGTAGGTTACTGAGCACTGACTTTTTTATAAATCTGGGTCTAACTGAGGCTAGATGGCTGTTAGGGTTGTAGTTTTGTAATGCTAGGGAGGGCAGTGGCCAAGTTCAAGACTTAATGTATGTTGTGTTTTAAGTAGCACCTGAACCTGTACGAAGATGTCAAAAGATCCTTTCATAAAACCCAGCAACTTGCATTCAACCTATCTAACCTTACGCAAATGATCTGTCAACTGAGCATAAATGTGACATTATAAATGGTCTTCTGGTAAGTCCATCTCATGCTCTAAATATAAAACAATTACCTGAACTTGCAATGTCTGTCTTTAAGCATAAATCTGTTTGCTTTTTAGTCTGGCTCTCTACCAGTTTGTAGAGCATCTTGGCTGGCACAATTCTCTCGTGCAATCTTCCATGCAAAGAGACCTGAAACACGTAATCATACGTGGTTCTCTTCATTGGACTTTTGATTATCTTATGAATAATATATCTGCTTGGATCACTTATGCGCATAATGAATTTACAATGTTTAAATTGGCATGGCATCTGCTGAGGACCCAGACAAATCCCATCTCACTGGTCTCAACTATGGAATGCTGTTCTTGGATGTTCTCTCTAAAGCACTTGTGATATGTGAAGCTGTTGACACTAGTGAAACAAAGAAGGTCTCTTACGTTGCTTGAGTGATCTTCATAGGAAAACTTCAGACTTGGCTCCTTATTGTTTCCTGTGTGCTAAGTTTATATATTTAGTTGTGAATGGCTGTTTATATGAAGCCTTGTACTTTAAGCCATACCATTCACATACCTGTGGAAAGGCCAACGTTGATCTGCAAGAAAAAGAAGTGAGGGAAAGCAGAAACTTTTACTATGGTGGTCACAAGCAGGTACATGTGAAAGTGGATCTATATGGATACACTAAAACACATCAGCATTAAAGCAAGGGCTACTAAAGCAAGGACAGACTAAAACATATAAATACCAAATCAGCATTACAGTTCTTGGGCAACAAATCCAGACTAGAAAGCAATACAGAATAAAACTGTCAGACTTAAATTCTATCAATCACTGTTTTGTTCTTTGTGGATAATTCATCTCAGGATGGAACTATAGTCGCTTACTCTAATTACTAGAGTCATGACAGAGTATAAGCCATACTCTCATGTGTAAGTCATACTCTGTTGCTGTGGAAGTTTGAAGTATTCCTCATTCATGTGTAGCTTGCCTTAACAACTGTATCTTGCCTTTACCTACTAAAATCAGATAGGCTCTTTTCCCTTTACTGCCACATATATTAAGCTTTTCTTGGTGAAAATCACTATATATTTGAACTTCTAAAACAAATAAGGACCACCCATTCTTTTCCCCGTATTACTTGGTAGCTCTCTGTCCTCTAATTAAAAAGTAACTAAAATGAGTTTACAAGGCAAGTCCTGTTTGTTCACAAGAGCACTACTATGACTATGGCATAATACACAAGTGCACCTTGTTTAAAATTTCTTCAGTCATAAGGCATCTGATTGTGCTCTGGAACTTGTTCTTGTAACAGGCTTCTCCAAGTCAGCAAATAGTATTCTTATACTTCTTACTCTCTGACCTGCCAGTAATACTTGCAGTTTTTATTTAATGCTATTGCAAGTATCAGATAAAATGCAGCATACTGTAATAGCAATAGAAATGTTTGATTCTGTAGTATCCACATTGTTGGCATTCTTTGGTGTTTCCCTGTTACTGGACTACATTGTTTTGAGGGGCAACTCAGTCTTTCTTTGGTGGTCTCAGAGTATATAATCTAAATTTAAAGCCTGTGATCCTTGAGGAGCATGTGTGACAACTCGGTCTTGCCAATGGAGATTAGTCAGGGAAAAATGCTCCTGCATTGACCTTGTCACAAAGTTGATGGTGCAAATTATCATGCATCTCCCCCTCCAAAGGTTCATCAGGTCTTGTGTAGCTAGTGAAGAATAGCAGTTTGTTTTCATAATCAGAGGCGATATATTAGAGCTAAAAAAGAGTAGAATTAAAAACATGACGTGTATCGTTGCTGTAAATGTCACTCTGATGTGGACGATCACCCTTTCACGTGCTTTTATTTTTGTTGAGCATTGCCCAGGGCTGGTAGCCTGTGCAACAAGCTATCTGTTGAAGACATCCCATGCTCAGGTGGTGGCTGCTTTCACTGCAGGCTTTCCAGATCCCAAATAATCTTCTACTGACCGATTGCAGCAGGGGGTTGCAAGTGGAACATGATAATTATCTGTTTTTCCATACACAAAGCAGCTCATGGAGCTCAGATGGCTTTGAGATGTGGTGAATTTAACTGACAGTCACTGGAACTTATTTTTCTGCACCTGAAAGTTATGCAGTCATTATTGATTATTCCAGGTTTGCATTGCCATCCAGTCACTTGATACTCATTTCACCATCCAAAATCCTCAGCATTCAGGTGTCAAAAATTAAGCTGACAAAGCAAAAATTCTTCCACGTGGAAGAACAGATTTTGGTAGTGCAATAGAGGAACCAGCAATGTAATCTATGCAATATGGAAATGATGTGATGGAGCACTGGGAACATTGCCTTAGAGCTTCCTTCTTTTTTTATTTATTTTTTTTTAATAAAATAACAAATATTATAATATTGTGATAACAAATGCCGTGAGAATATACATAACTGCACTTATCCATACATCTGCTGATACAACATCCTGCTTTAGGATGTCTTCCCCATCATCCTGCTGTGCACAAGTTTTTACTGACATACTGGCAACCATATGCCAGGACAAATGCTATCAACAGCACTTTCTAGTGGAGATGTCATTGAAGTGAGTGCTAGAATGCAAGTAAAAAGTTCTTATCCCTAAGCAGTGTAAGCAGTGTGAATCCAGTCGTGAAATGAAAATATACTTACACACTATGGAATTTGTAAAACTAGCTGCAGTTTTGTAGGTATTTTCTCACCTTTTTTTAATGATTGGCTTTGGATGTATGTTCTCTAAATTTTTTAACTTTCTTCCTGTTTGCATTCTTGTCTTCTTTCATGTTTGTTTTTTTTTTTTTTTTTTTTTTTTTTTTTTTTTTGCCTCCCTCCTCCCCAATCTCTTTATTAAAGACTAGGTCTTCGACAAAGCAATGGTTAACTTATAATAAATCTGTCTCTTTGGAACAGCCTCTTATGCTTCTCTCCTGCTTCAGTAAGAGTGCCTAACTCAAAATCCTGTTCTTTCTAAAACTGTGTCACTTGTTCTAAGGCAAAAATTAAAGTGATGTAAGTAGGCAAGCATTTGGCTAGGCTTTCTCTTAATGTTGTGTGGATCATGAAATCTAGGCTGCTTTCACTATGGTCAGTAATAATTAAAATGAGATCTCTTTATTTTGGACTGATTACTAACATAGGAGAAAGATCTAAGAGACTTTATAGTACAGCATCCTGGTAAAATATTGCATAAACTCTACTTTTTTTTTTGCATGTTTCGCATGGGTAGTGATGCTGTACAGGAAAATAATTTCTTTGGCAGCATATGAGTAAATATGGAAAGCGTATCAGATAAGGTGCTAAGGATAGACATCTTGGGTAATATAAAGTTGCTTTCAATTTAAAATTTTAAGATAATGGAATGCCATTATCCTTGTTGTATAATGAAGGCACATTGGAAGTACAGCAGTGTGATTGAAGAGTGGTATCAGCCTGACCTAATGGTTACCTGGAGAGCCTGG